CCGGCCCTCCAGGACAGAGTTTGGGCACCCCTGGTCTAAACCGTAAATGAAGCAACAGTAGGCTACATATTTTTTTTGACATTTTTAGGTCTGCTATACATTCTCCAGTGTAGCACTATCTACAAAATACATTTACATAACAATGAGTCACTTTTCCGCTTCCTCTTTGGGTCGTGGTTTCGAGCAGCACTTTGATCCAGCAAACAGCGATCTGAAGATGTTCCTCTTCCTCTTTCCTGTCCTGTCCTTTCCGGGCGATTGTTCGGAGAGGCATATGGACTTCCGGAGCGTGCCGATACGCCGCTCGTGTTCACGGCTCTTGCACTGCACGTGGTTCTGGATGGCAAATCCCAGGGACTCCATGTCCAGCGACGCTCCATAGACTTCCCAGGTCATTCCCTGCTCATCCCAGACGATCTCCTGAGGTGTACCACTCTCCTCCTTTTCTCCTTCCACCCCTGCTGTTCTCCCAGAGTTGAGCAGCTTCAAGGAGTCCTCCGCCACTCTGGGCGACACTTGACAAGTTGCGTCAAATTCACTGATGGTTACTTGAGAAGGAACCGAACCAAGAGGTTGCAGGGACTGGCTACGGAGCTCAATCTCTATTTGACAGATGTGTTGAAGAGATTTCTGGCTATTGGAGGACTTGTAAGGGGGTGGACCTAGAAATCTAGGCTTGGCTCCTGTTGGTTTGGGGTCCGGTAAGGCTACAGTTGGCAACCAATCGGAGTCCGAGTTACTGTCGGGGTTGAGCTCATTGTGCAGGCCACCTTTAGGATTGAGGTCAGTCTCAGGGTTCAACTGGTGGGGTTGAGAATCGTGGACTGGACTCATGTCTGTGGATCTGCTGCAGACCTCCACATCCGCCTGGACCTCGACGTCAACGTACACCGGTTGCAGATCCACCTGCAGTGCTGCATCCTTCATTTTGGTGACTGGGAAACCTTCAACTGTAATTGTCACTGCATCCTTCAAGTTCTTGGGTGTCGGAATGTTATTGTTTTCGTTCATCATAGCATCCTTCCTGACCTCAGTCGCCATTTTATCATTCTTAATCTCAGCTTCCCTCTTTCCCTCTCCTGTGTTCCTTCTCTCCTCACTCTCAGCTTCCTCCCTTCCCTTCTTTTCCCACAGTCTCTGACTCTTTCCTGCGTGTCTCTCTTGGGTCGTGACATATACGTCAGTTTTGTCTTCTTGCTCTCTCAGCTGTTTGATAGAGGGGTTTGTTGCTCGATGTGACGACGGAGAAGACGTTTCTTCACCCCCTTTGGAGTTAATCGTGATGACATCACTTCCTCTAAGACCGTGTCCCTGAAGGACAGCATCCTCTCTTTCCACTCCTTCTCTCTCATTCCCACTCTTTATCTCCGGCTCCTCTCGTCCCCGAGGACTCTCCCCCATTGCTGCTTCCGTCCCCTGTTGCAGTTTGCTCTCCACCAATGTGTCAATCATTTTATCTTTCGGAGAAGTCAACAGCAGTCCTTCTTTGCCTGTGACTCTTCTATTCCGCTCGGTTTTGTCCACTTTGAGAGATGCAGGATGGGGCGGTTTAAGTTTGGGGCTGGAAGTGGCTCTAGGAATGTGCGAGAGAGAAGTCCGGTTGAGACTCTTGGAAGAGTCGGTAGAGGAAATCTGGGAAGCAGACGATGTTTTTTGAAGCGTCTTTTGTGGGGAGTCTGTGGAGCCCACGATATGAGATGCTGAGGCAGTTTTTTGCATGTTTTTGAGAAATTTTTTCGCACTCGCTTGCAGCTTTTTCTCATGGCTCGCATTTGGGGATCTCAGTTTTGGCCCACTGGGTCCAGTTTGGCTGGATAAACTTAAGACCTCCACTCCAGGTGCAGTTGTTTTGCTTGGTGGTTTTGATCCTGTTTTAGTCGTAGCAATTGTGTTAGCTATTCCCGCAGTGACCTGCTTGGTTGTCGTTGAGTGCATGGTGGGTATTTTCGATGCAGCTGTGGACGCAGGGAGGGGTTCTGCGGCTGGAATGGCAGCGGTGGCTAATGCAGTGTTTTTTAGTGTTTTCATATGGCCGGCAGATTCCCTGGAGGTGGATCGCTCCTCCTGTTCTTTAGCTTTTACTTCAATGCCATGATTCTCTCCAAGTCTTGTCCTGGTTCCAGGAGAGAGGTTTCCCTTTCTGTGCTGGCTTGAGGGCTTGGACTCCCAGCATGCCTTAGGCTCATTATTTCCAGGGGGATGAAGGAAATCAGGTCGGGATTCCATGAAACTGATTATAGTTGAAGGAGACGACAATGAGAGCTCTGATTTAATGATGTCTTAGTTGTGGGTGTGACACATCTGTGAAGAGAAAAACAGCAGATTTAGTTAAATCTTTTTAAAAATGTTTTGATGAAATTGTTTACCTACTGTAAATAAGTCAAGATAAAACTATAAATTATGATTTTTCATGTAAATATATTTTTACATTTTCTGATTAGTTTTTCTGCTGTTTTCACAAGTGTTGAATTTTCACTGTCATATGTTCATTGATCAAACATTTTAATTGACATTGGTTTAGACAGGATTACAGGAACTATAGATTTTATGTCAGTTCAGTTATGTACTGTAAATGCATTCCTGGTGTAATGATGACTGTACATTTAGCACCTGATTAAACCAACCCTTTTTACTACAATTAAAACCAAAAAACCATAGTTACTATAGCTAAACCATGGTAACCACAAATTAACAATACACTAACAATTTACATTTAACCATGGTATTTGAAGTAAAATTGTGGTTATACAAATGGTAATCAATACGCTAAAAAAAAAACAGTTACTACACTTTTACTATAAAACCATGCTTAATTTTCGGAAGGGAATCCTTACAACCCTAATGGAAGCAAGTTTTGAATGATGGTTGTTTTACATGTGCAATCAGTTTGGATTTTTTTTTTTTAAATGTGCCACTTATGAAAATAGAACCAAATCAGGCGGGGCATAGAGGAGAAACAATAATGTACAGTATGTGGAAAATAATGTGTTTTTTGAACCTTAAACCGCATAAACACATTTCATTACACCAAATACACCAAATAATGTTATTTTTAGCAGCATCATATGACCCCTTTAAATAAATAAAATATAAAATAATAATAAACTTAAAACCTCAAATTTCCCCGCTGGGAAAAAAAGAAAGAAAAGAAAAAATCTTTTAAGAAGGGTCCAAAACAGACCAGTCTGACTAGGTTAAGCTGCAGCTGTTGATACAAATCTCTTATTCTTATTTTAAGCTATACCTTATTTCAGTGTTTTAGTTTTAATTCTCCGTTTACATTAATATAATGTAACATTTAATTCGATTCTAATCTGTTCTAACAAGTTACCGCTTCTTCAAAGGAGGGACAGTGATTCTAACACATCTACACATCCATCAGCGACGCCCATAAACACTGTAACATAAGTAAACACGATCCGCTATTAAAGAACTACACAAGCGCATATTACGCACAACCATACTCACAGTTTAATGCCTCCCAAATCGATCCAGACATTGCCAGGACGATGCGCTCTTCTGAATGATGCTGAAACTGTGCAGTTTTTCCCTCTCGTGCTTGAATAAATGACGACGCTCTGTTCTGCATCAGATACGCGAGGAGAGCACGACGCGCGCGCGGAATACAGGTCACGTATTGATTTACTTTGATGTGCATCTCATTTTTCCAAAACATCAACTGGTATTTTAGAGATGTAAGCATACATCAGGTTTCTTTGCTTTCAGCTGGGTTTAAAATCCTTAATTTATTTAATATTTAACGTTACATATTTTATCTCAATAGACTGGAATGAGTTTATTAATATAATATATCCCACCCACTAACAGGTGCAGTGATGAAGAGATAATCAGTGTTATTCACCTGTCAGTGGTCATAATGTTATGCCTGATGTACATTTTCCATTCACAATTACAACTTAAGATCAATATTTGTTATTATTATTATTATTTAATGCTCTAAAGTCTGGCTTATAGAAAATGTTGAATTTAGTAATTAAATATCACCTTACGAATCCATATACATGTTGGCATTTATAGCTTATATGCAGCTTTCACAATGAGTTTGGATCTCATTAAATCTACTTTATCTGTCATATTAAAGTTGTTGCTGGTACAATGGCAGGGGTTTGGTTGCCTAGTAACCAGTAATGACTGTCAGCAGCACCTGAGCTGATGGTTAGTAAAGTGAGACGGATACTCTCAAAACACTGGAGCCCACAGCAAATATGGTTTCTATATTTCGCATGAAGAATAATGAACAGATTTCATGCATTGACTCCACATAGTGCTCTCAATGTGTTATATTAATATGATCATACTAATATATATATATATATATATATATACATATAATACTTAAAGATCAGAATAATGAAATATATTCTATTCTATAGTATTAGTATATTAAAATTATATAGTAAAATAATGCATAATGTACAATTTTATAAAATTACATTTCATAACAATATAAGCATTGCATGACACTTTTAGAGACACGTCTCATGCAATCCATATTATATAATTATATATATATACACACTTTTTTATTGTTTTTTAAATTTCATATAATTGTTGTACACTGCATGAGTTATTTAATAAAATTAAACAACATATATAATTGTATTATTTTATAAATGAAATTTTACAGTATATAAATATGTGCATCGCATACACATTTTATAATTGTTTTTTAAATTTCATTTTATAATTGTCATACAATGCACATTATATAATAAAATAACAAAACAATTGTAGAATTTAATAAAATT